GGATAGCAATGGAAAATTCAAATCTCTAAAATTGAAACTTGTCTCCATTCACATTTCGTCTCCCCCACCCCCCGCCTTTTCACCTCCTTTGCCCCCTCCTCTGGGCTTTCGACTCTTTTTACAGCCTTTCTTCTGTTACTCCGTGGCTCCTTCTTATTGTTTTCTTTCAGCCACATCCCTGATCTTCGGGTAGAAAAGATCTTCACCTAGCCTTTTCGGACAAGGGCGAAAAATATGGGAGATCTCATGTGCAAGTTACCCACGTGTTTTGATTGATTGAGCAGGTGTTTTACGGCACTATCGACTCAATTTTGGTAATGTAAGTGCCATTACCCACGTTAAAGATCCCTTGAAGATCCAAAATCGATGAGAGTAGGCTTCGGCCGCCACTTGGGCAAAATTCAAAATGACCTACTGACTGAAAATGTAAGATTATGTTTCCCGCGCGCTCATATGACCTTATGCAGTTGCGAGCGCCGTAAAACAGTTACCAAAAAAGAAAGAAATCATTGTGAGGGAAGTAGCATAAAGCAATGTCAAACTGACTTGTTCCTTTTCAAAAGTACACTGATGTCATTGAATATGAAGTTTAATTGTGATTCTGTTCTAAGTTACTAAGTCTTGTCATACTTATAGAGGAAGTCTTGTTTTTAATCTCTACGATTATGAGTTAACCAACTGAAGTGTCTTTTGGCAATGCCCAAAAGGGGGTGGGGCATTGTCATCTCGAGTTCTTATTCACAGAAGAATTATAATTGTAAATGGGCTGATTCATCAATGTCACGCTCTTAACTGTGCTTATTTTTTCTCTACTTCGTTTGTATTTTGTCACACTTTTGTGACCCGTTATTTCCGAGGTGCCTTGATAGGCGAAGCAGACTTTGTGGTGTTGAAGCTAGAGCGGCGAGCTGAGTAAGTCTGATTCCCTGTAAGGACTTCTCTGTTGACATCGACTACTTGGCGCTCATATGACGTTATGCATTTGCTAGCCTCTACTAAAAACAAGATCATGAGCTGAGTGTGTATAACAGAGTACTTATCAGTCACCCATCACCACAATTAAAAGAATATTGTCACATTTCGTCAAGGCTTTCATTTGGGTTTGGGAAAAACAAAACAGAAGAAAGTAAACTTTAGATTATATAACAAAAGTGCACTGCCCGTTCCTGCTGCTTCTTCAGTTGCTCTAATTTGACACACTCAATTAGTTTTGCTATCGATTGTTCACTGACATTGAGAGTGAAAGAAGACGTTTTATGTTTGATATTTCTGAAAATAAAGCTTTCGGGCCTAGATGCCTGCTCACTGAATGTTTAAATGACATTAATTTTATTATTGCTGGTCAAATGGCACTGCAAGTGATAACACAATTGAGACGTAACCTCTTTCCTTAACCTACATGCACACGCGCTTACACACAAACACACCAATGCACAAACACAAATACGCACACAAATTATACCCCCTCCCCCCCTCACACACACACACACGGAGTACACTCCGTCATGCGTATTGCAAAACATTGAAATGCATGTGGTTGTGTGATAGATAGATAGATAGATAGATAGATAGATAGATAGATAGATAGATAGATAGATTTCGTACCAAGTGAAAAATTCCCACTGGAGGTGGACTCTTTTCTTCCAAATCGGTAGGCTCTTCAATTTCCTCATCTTCTTCATCTGCCGGCGTTTTGAGCTTTTGCCGTTCGGTGCCTTTTATTTTCATGGCTCTTTTTAGGGAGTTTGCTGCAGAGAGAAAGAACTATCCGGAGTAATGAAGAAGACTGCTTCCCCTTCTGCTTTGAGTCATACTCTCCTACCTATCCCCCTCTAAGGGATTGTCGTGAAAGGAGAAATTTAATCAAGTCTAGTAACTCTATCTTTCTGCTGGGACGTTGTGTACTTTTCGTCTGGTAATGGTTCAAAATGTGGCAAACCTTTGTCTACCAGTATGTCATCGGCCACAGATGAGGCCATAAGTCGCCATTACCTTTACTTCTAACTAATTCTTCTGTCTCGCTGGAGATATATTTTCCTTTGAAGATGTAGTGGTCATCGTTAAGAATTGTCGAACGAGCCATTACAGACTGAATGAACCTCTAAAGCACAGGTGCCAAACTCAAACCCTGCAACCCGTATCCATCCCGCAAGAGAATCTTAGACAGTCCACCCCGAGAATCGTAATTACACACAACTTTTCTTCAAACATAAACGAACTTGTTGCCAAGAAAAAAATGCCAAATATCCAGCTCTGACAAATTGCCTTACAGCAGGAAAATAGAATAATTTGATTTTAATTTATTTATATAAACTTTTGTCTCTTTCAGTATATACTATTGTTTTAAAAAGGCTACGTTTCAACTACTTAATGAGTATAATTTATCCCGTTCAACTTGCAACCTTAGGTGTCATTTGAGTTTGGTCCCCAAAGATATTGAATTGACACCCCTGCTCTGAAAATATTGGAATCAGGATCTTCATGTAGAGCTGGTATTAATATGTTTGTTTTTAATTAACATTTTTAAAAATCTTACAATAATAGTAACATGAGAAATTGAATATATTAAACAGAATGTATGATTTTAAAAACGTGGAATTCATCTAGCCCACCTGTTTTTTCACTCTGCTAAGACACTTTTGTCAATACAACTTTCATCCAGAGGCCAGAGACGAGGTTGAAGTCCGTAATATCAGAACAGAAATCCAAAACTGTCGACCTCTTAGAATTTTCCACCAAGTCTGAGGGCACGGTTAAGTCAGCGCTGGCCGAAGGGAAAATAGAGAAACCCACTTAACTCTTTCAAAGTATATGCATAAAACATTAAGAATGAAAAGTACATTTATAAAAAATCTTCAAATTTTCCAGGTTAGAGCTCCCAAAAGAATAACGTTTGCAGTGCTTTTTATATTGCTTAATACACAACTTACTCCATCAAGAGAACTCATAATCTGTTTTTTTTAGATGAGTGACTTATATTTTTGGTTTTAAAAAATCCATTTTAGATCAAAACAATTTTCAAACTTTTTAAAAGCAGGAAGATAAATCTATTCTACCACTTACAATAATTGCACTTTACATAATGTATCTTCAAAAGTACTTTTAATAGAGTTTTCAATAAAAGATCCCAAAACAACAGGAATAACATACTTCACGCACAAACCCGTCGACGAAATGGAAGAATTTCTAGGCTACAATCTACACTCTTCAAGTGTCATGTGCGTGCGTGGGGTTCTAACTATAACTCATTATGCTAATTGTGTAACTTAAAACCCCTTCTGAAAACGGACATCCTCGGAAAAACTGAATATATTTTATCGATCTGGGGTTCCAAAGTGTTATGAATTATGTTAAATCTATAATAGGGGTGTACTTGATGGTCAGTATTATAATGATATGTGTTAATTGAGCTGCTTCATTTATTAGCGCATGACACTGCGATGATAGCATAATAACATTGTCGCCCTGATCTATTTCTTTTACACCTATAGTAACTGTTCTTCGTGTCCGTGTTTTTTCTCAGGGGGCGCAGCCGGCGATTTTCAGGGTTAAAAAACATTAGTTTCCTAAATTTGATTATTCATACATTCTAGAATTACAATAACAGCCAATTAAATTTCCCGCTCTTGTCATGCGACAGCTTCGTCAAAGTGGCATCGACGTCTGTCAAAACGAGCCAAAGTCCTGTCAAAAAACATCTGTTTTAATACCCTCTACAGATCCCTGGATGTGTCAAATTAATGAGAATAACTCTCACAACTTGTAACGAGTATTTGCAGTGCACTTTCGACACCCTGACCGAAATAATATAACCCACATGTTATGCTTGTATAGAGGGTAAAATACTGGGCACTCTAGCTGTAAAGAGAGTAAAAGATAGGACATGGGCAAGGAAGGAAGGGAGTTTGAATGTACTTGTTTTATGGAGGCTACAATGAAGGATGTCGCGTGTTTGGGAAAAAAACTACCAAGTTCCAGCATAACGATTCTTACTTAAGTCATCATACAGTATAGTTTTTTAAAATCAAGCTTCTTCTGTGGGTAGTCTTGCCCTCTATTATACGTTGTTATACATGGACGTTCTTGAGTCAGTATGGAAACAGCAGAAAAAAATGATTCGCTCAGAATGTCTAATTTGGGTGCAGCTGGTTCTGCATTTCAACCCTTCATTAATTTTCTTCGTCTGCTTTCCGTCTCCTTCATTCGTTCTTGTTTCTTTCATACCCTCTTTTCATCCTGTATTTTTTTAAAAACCTGTAACAATTTTTTTTCTCTTTGTGTCTCCGAATTTTCTTCTCTATTACACCTTTACATTTCTGCTTTAGGCTCTTGTGTATTTCGTTCCTCTCTCTTAGTGTGTACTTTTGTGGGGATTTAGTTTTGGTTTTGGTCTTGGGGGGGGGGGGGGGTGGGGAGGGGTTGTTTCAGTTTGTTTGCCTGTTTATTTTTGTCTCTTTGTTGTTATCTGTGGTAGCTGCAGCGGTTTTGGGTTTCCGCTTTTTAAAGTACTCAAATAACCATTGTCCTTTCAGCCTCGAGTTTCATATTCACAAGAATAAATAGTCCAGGTCAAACTTATAGGAATTTTGAAATCATAGTAGATTGTGATGATCCAATCGCTCTGTAAGTGGGTCATTCTGAAGTGGGTCATTCCGTTCCACAAGCTTGGGCTTTTTTCTGGCTTAGGCCAGGGGTCACCAAACGCTTTATAACTGAGAAAATGCCGAACGCGGGCCGGATAATTATTGTGTTTAATACAATACACTGATGAGTGGAATAAAATTCTTTAAGACATTAATGCTGAACAGGAATATTATTTATCAGTTTAAAATTATGCGTTATGATATCTATTAGAAAATTTTGTTCACGTTGCACCGTAGAATGCAATGAAATGGTTCAGTTATTTTATGACCTTGAAGTCCGGACCACGCTACAAACACATCTTCCCAAATGTCCATCCCTAAATGACGAGCTGACCTCTCGACGGGGTCATCATAGCTAAGAGCCGTAGTTTGGTGACCATTGCTTAGGCGAATAGTTCAGCACGCTCCTTCCGTCCAGCCCTAGCACTATGTCCCCGAGCGTCAAGTACAACGAGCGGTGATTTTGCGTCGTTTTCTGGAAGCCTCGGTAATGCCTGTAACGTTCACTTTCAAAACACCAACTACAACAATTTTTTTCGGCATAGGAAATGTGAACAAAAAGACGTTCTCTTTCAGCCTGCCCCTGATGATATGCAAACTCTCCCTCCTAAAATGAAAAAAAAAATTGCTTAAAACAACACTGAACAATGCTGACAGCTTTAAATATATTGGCAGTACATCTTCAAATGCCCGCATCGATACAGACATAAAGTTACGCATAAATAAAGCTAGTGCATCCATTGGAAGACTCAGAGGAAGGGTTTGGGTCTGCAGTGGCATTCGTACAGAGGCAAAGTTGAAAGTTTGCAAAGCTGCGGTCCTCCCAACGGTGTTGTATGGAGTGCCAAAGGGACCTGAACGGTGTATAAAAGCCATGCCAAGAAGCTCAATCATATCTCTATGAAGTGCCTCAGGAGAAGCAGTTTATACAAATTTTGCATTTGGCTCTATAATATCGGAAATGGACGTTAAACTGGGAGGACTTGCCTCTTAAATAACCTTAAGGTGTTACGATGGTCATTAAATCTACAGAATATTGCATATTATGAGTTCGCACTGTCAGTGGATCTTTCGCTGTTTTGTGCTAGACGTCAAAAGCTATTAGTCTCTAACTCTACGTACTATGTATTCCTGTTCCTGAATGTGCACAGGCGCGTTTGCATTTCTGTACCTTGTCTTTTATGGTTTGGGTTTTGCTTAGTTGTGACTTAGTGCTGACAAGTCAATGATACTTATTAATTGATAAACAATTTGTTTCAAGAGAAGAAAGAATTAAAGTCCTTATATGCACACTCACTGTTGCGCTTACACTCACACATGCGCAAGCACGTACATATATGCACACACACAGACACACACAGACAAATCGATACATACGCACATGCACGCATACACACACATACATACCAAAAGACAGAAAGAGAATGAGAGAAGACAGACACACAGACAGACAGACAGACAGACAGACAGACAGACAGACAGACAGACAGACAGACAGACAGACAGACAGACAGAAAGCAACACACGTGTCATACACATAAGGACACATTCACACACACACACACACACACACACACACACACACACACACACACACACACACACACACACACTCACACACACTCACACACACACACACACACACACACACACACACACACACACACTCACACACACGCGCGCGCGCACCATCAAACACATAAACGCGCAACCTCTGTCTCAACACTGTCTTCCATCTTCAAAATCTCATTATCTGCCCGGAATTAATTTCGGGTTTAAAGTTCGAAACTCTCAAAGTCATTGTGACTGAGCATTGATAAAAACATTATTTTTACAGACAGAAAGAAAACAAAACACTGATGGTACCTGGTGGGTGCTCTCTGCTCATAAGAATGATATGCTTCTATTTGCGGTCTTGGGTAGTAATTAAATAGCTTCTTCTTCTTCTTCTTCTATCCCGTGGTTGGGGCAACCGTTGAGGCACCACCACATTGGAAAACCAGCTCTCGCCATCTATTTTTGTCCTCTGCTCTCCTCAGATTGTCTCCCATCGTCTTTCCTGTCCACTCTAATGTTGTCCTCCCATCTCCTTTTCTGCCTTCCTCTCTTTCTCTTTCCTTGTACGGTTCCTTGCTGGATTGTTTTGGCAAGTCCTGTGGATCTTGTGACATGCCCATACCATTTTAGTTTTCATCTCTTCACTGTGGTCAGTAGATCTTCATATTGCCCCACTGCGTTGGTGATTCTCTTTCGTACTTCAGTATTTGAAACGTGGTCTTTGTACGAGATGTCAAGGAGTCTGCGGTAACATCTCATCTCTGTGGTCTGAATCTTTTTCTCTAATTCTGCTGTTAGTGCATAGCTTTATTTGTTTGGAAATAGGCACAACAGCACGCAAAATCAACACAGAAATCATGTTGTGATGTTGTCTTTTCCGAAATGAAGGCTATCACTTAAGTGAAGATGCAGAAAAAAAGGAAAAGGGTTCGTGAAATGAAGAAAAAGAGGTTCTGAAGTTTATAGTGCTGAAGGAAGAGGTGATACAAAAAAGGAAAACGATGAATAGAAGGGTAAAATATGATGTAATTAGTGCACTACAGTTCGAACAAAGACACCCTCTCGCGACCTATATCCTCACAGAGGCACAAAGAAAAGAAATGTTTGAATCGTATTGTTAAGCATTACTTGAACAAAATTATGGGAAGGACAAAAACATGAAGATGAGATTAGGTAATGGTAAGTGAGCCATTCAAGCTATAATCAAATGGAGCCAATTACTCTTTCTGTTGACGTGTGTGCGTGTGTGTGTGTGTGTGTGTGTGTGTGTGTGTGTGTGTGTGTGTGTGTGTGTGTGTGTGTGTGTGTGTGTGTGTGTGTGTGAGAGAGAGAGAGAGAGATAGGGGGTGGGAGAGAGAGACAGAGGGAGAGAGAGAGAGAGAGAGAGAGAGAGAGAGAGAGAGAGAGAGAGAGAGAGAGAGAGAGAAAGAAAGAGAGAGAGAGAAAGACAAAGAGAGAGGGAAGATATACAGACAAAGAGACAAAGAGACAGAGACAGATGAGAGACAAGGGGACAAAGAGGCAGAGAGACAAGGAAAACAAGTGAGAAAATGATGACAAATATGAAGGAAGAGGTTGGAGAACCAAAGATTAAGGGAGAGTGTGCTTGTTGAGACGGATGAAAGATGACACAAGAATCGAGGTGAAGAATATAGTATACAGACGGATGGAGAGATAAAACAAAAGAAGATCAAGAAAATAAATTCTATTGTTAAAACAATGACTTCAAGCATAGCGATTCATGTGTAAGACGACGAACAATCGGAGAGTATTAGGATTGCTATGAGGCGACAAACTACAGGATGATGGTGATGATGATGATGATGGTGCTGGTGGTGGTGGTGTTGGTGGTGATAGAGTAAGTGACAATTACAGTGTGAAAGAAAATATATTACAACATGCCGTCACGGAGACGGTAGTTAAAGAAAAGGAACTGATGGCTGGATAGAAAAATGTTCGAGAGAGAAAATGAGATACAATGGACACGATCAAACAGTACAGGCAAATTGAAAGGTTAGAAAGATGACCGAGAAGTAGAAGCCACAAAAGGTTGGGTGGACGATGGGAATGGGGATAGACTTTCAACTGGTGTTATACAGAACACAAAGTGACAAAGGTGAAAGTAAAGGCAACCACAATATGGGGAAAGCAAGACAACTTTGACACTTTTCTTCTGAAAAAGATACAAATCTGATTTTATAAACTGAAAAAATCAAATCAAAAGCCGGTAAAGGCCAATGCGACAAACAGGTTGTTGTGACTTTTATAGGTGACAAAAATAAATAGCAGAGGTCTGTGAGCTGCAATTTCATAAGGGAGCATACCTTGCGACAGTGTTTGGCATATCTAACTTCATTTGACACCATATGCCACAAATAGAACTATAAAAGAAACATTTTCCGCACTACTATTAATCTATTTGCGATGTCAAGTCTTGTATCTGGGAATATAATCAGAGTGAATGGGCTAGTCATAAACAAGCAATAGACTTTGAAATTGAGTTTGTTTTCAAAGCCAGTTGGAGCTTGGGAGTTTCTCGTAGGTCCGTGGGTGGTTTTCCAAGTTGTATCCTAACCAGGTGGATAAGAGTGAGACTGCAGGCTTGATTCTCTCCTTCCCTGAGCAGGAAGCTGTGTAAGAAACTTTAGTTTTACAAAAATCCTTTATTTCCTCCATGCACCAAGCTGTCAATGGGGGCATGGTGATCGTTCGAGCCGAAATGTGTAAACGATCAACAGGCAACAATACAGTTAGTAAAATAATAATATGACACCGTGTCAACGAGTGCAAAGTCTTGTTCCACCTTGGGGTTTGGTGGAGGGGTTGGGGGAATGGAAATATTAACTTTGACCCCTAGTCGCCCGTTGCTAGGGTGTCAATACATTTAAACAAACACTATCAGGAAGGTGAATTGCTCACCAAGCATAAAAATACAGGGGTTTTCTTTGGTAAGGTTAGAAAGTGTGTGGGGGACGGGGGGAGGGGGAGGGGAGGGGGTGGTGACCGATATATTACAGAATTTAGTCAGGATGAAAAGTAATTTTGACAAAAACACTAAAGGGTGAATGCCACTAAAATGGGAAATGCGCACTAGATCTATATCAATGATCATAATCAATAGAGGTCACGTCCTTCAAAATTGTGTCCGTACGCCATTACTTATTTATTGGCAGTGTCCAAAGAACCAGTAGTTTGTGTTTGTGTTATGACACCACTCCTGTAATTTGACCGAGTAGCGGGGTCGAAAATATCATCTCTTTCAAAAGACAAATGTTATCGTCAGACAATTAGAAGGCCACAGTTCGTGGTTCGTGCCATTTCCTGTCCATTATTTCTTTTCCAGAAGGAAATGAGAAGCACCTGACATGTTTTGATTGGTTGATGCATGCTGTTACCACGCCTGTGATTGGTGGGATTTTGCTGTGCGGAAGCGTTTGTTTCCAGCATTAGTTCTACGTCATTGATGCTTGTATATTGGCCAGATGACCGGATGGATTGCGAAAGGAGTATTTATGTTCCGATGACAAAAACGAAAAATTAGTCCAGTCTTCATCCTGCGCTGGACCATGTGTGTCTGCGTGAAAAGTGATATATTGTGGATTAGATACGATCTAATAATTAATGGACTTTATATAGATCCGTTATTAGCATACATTGACTGTAGTATGCTTTCACTAGCTTCTGCATTACAAAATATTAACGCAGACCAGTAAGAAACACACACGCACACCTCCACCCCTACACACACAACACACACGCACACACACGCACACACACACACACACACACACACATATATA